AAAATGGTATACTCACTGTTTCAAAAGTGACATTCATTTAGACCCAAATCCCTTGTGCATGTTTGTGTCCACACGTGTGTTCATGGAGTGTGCGTGTTTACACACCTGTGTACTTCCACGTGTGTTTATGTACACGTGTGTGGGTACATGTTTGTACGTGTGCATGCATGATAAACTACACTGTGTGGTTGAGAAGATGGACTCAGGAGGCAGCCTGCCTGAGTATAAATCTCACCCCTGCTACTTCCTAGTTATGTACACTTGAAAAGTGTTTTTAACCTCGCTTCAGTGTTCTCATCTTACATAGTTGCTGTAAGATTTAAATAAGTTAATATATGTAAGCAATTTTGAATACTTAATCCATAGTAAGTACTTAATACAATACTAGCTATTACTATAATCATTATCATATATTTATTCTATTTTTAAGGTTATATTATTTATACAAGTGCATTAGTTGGTGATTATGACATACATGTTTCACTGAAGTGGTATTAAAGATATGCCAACAAAATGTTTTGGATTGTGATCATTTAATTAGATAAACTGTGTGGTGTAGTACATCATTGGTGACAGGAAACAACTGTGAGAAAGCAACAAAAATTGCATAACTTGGTGTCTTACAGACTACCCATCAAATAGAGTGAAGTGCATTTATTTATTCAAATATAGTCCTACCGCACATTTCTTTTGTGCCAGGATTCAGTGTTAAAATGAAACATGGCACCATACAATCCAGCAGTCATACTCCTTGATATACACTTCAAGGATTTGAGAACTTACATCCACACAAAAACTCACTTGCTGAAAAGGGAACAGCATGATGGGAATGACAGCAGATAGTAGACCTCTCTAATTGTACTTTATTTTCCAGATCTAACCTGGAACCATATCAATGTCTTAAAAGTATAAAGCAATATTAAGTCAAGATGGAAAGGGAAACAGTCCCACAAAATTCAACTTCTGAATTTACAAACTTACCTAAATTGGAATGGAATCAATGGCAAAACCACACAGAGAGGACCTATTTCAAGTGACTTTAAACATGCAGTATATTTCCTTAGTGAGATGTGAGATATAAACCCTTAAGACAAAAAATAAATAAATAAAATTTACAGAGAAGTCAATTTTAATTAATTGTATTCTCAGATGTAATATATAATCTTATATTTAAATTGTATTATAGCATAAACATAATTATTAATATTATTTGTTATGAAGATTTTCAATGTAAAAGAAAAGAAATACAAAAACTCAAAGAAGTTAAATAAGACAGATTAAATTTGAATTGGCAATATCACTATAAATTCATGGTATATTTTTCCTCTTTAAAAAATTCTGAGTGTGGAGGGCACATTGCTATTTTATACAAGTCCACCTTCATTGAAGGCATGATGCCCACCTTCTGGGAATGCTCTTGGATGTCTTCAGCTGTCAGTCCCTTCAGGGATTACCATAACACAGAGAACCACCTTGTAGGTCATGATCCCATGGGCAATGATATGTAGGAACTGATATTTGAGGGAGTGGGAGTATAAATTCCTGGTTGACTTGGCCCAACTTGATTGTTGAAAGAGTCTAGCTCCAGGTCTCCTCCTAGCCTGCATCTCAGTTCAGCCCTTTTCTCTCTGTCTAATGAGGCTTCCTTTCTTTACCTTTCACATTTTTTTTCAACCATAGGAACCTCTATTTCTTAACTCTGTCTCCCAGGGAGTCTGCTTCTTTGGGAATGAAGTTTATGACACTGGGCTCTATTGCCCAAAACTTCCTAGAACAATGACCAACCCAATATCAATAAAGACCTCTTATGCCTGGAATTAATACCATTTCCCCAGCAAGGCTCTATAGAGAAATGTCTGATTGCAGGTCTGGGACAGGCAAAAGACAGGGAAGCTATCAAAGGCATTTGTGGTCATGTCAGAAGAACTCAGGAACCAATTTGAAGACATTCTCATTGTTCAAAGATAGTACAATTTGAACAACTAACAAAACTAATAATAGCAAAATTGTAATTGCTATCAATTAAAACACATCAGAAGTGTTAAAAGTTATAAATTTATAATGATAATATAACTGGTCATGTTTAGAAAATGCTAACAAGTAATTATTTTGAAAATCAATAAAGAAGGGAGAATAATCAAGTATTTAGCATACTTTAACTATAAATACTGTATAAAAACTCAGCAAACTAAGAATGGGGAAAGTTCCTCAACTGGATGAAGAATATCTGCAAAAAACCTACAGCTAACATCATGCTTAATAGTGAGAAACTTGAAGCATTCCCACTAAGGATGTCCCCTTCTCACCATACCTTTTCAACATTGTACTGGAAGCTATAGCTATAGCAATATGATAAGAAAAGGAAATTAAAGGTATACATATGGAGAAGAAAGAAATGAAATTCTCTTTATTCGCATATGACATGATTGTCTATGTGGAAAATCCAAAAGAATCAACAAAAACACTCCTGGAATGGTGAGGAATTATAGCAAGGTTGCAAAATACAAGGTTAATATATAAGTCAATTCCTTTCCTACATACCAGCAATGAACACATAGAATTTGGAATTAAAAATACAGTAGCATTTATACTACTGCGCCTCAAAATGAAATAAATCTAGGTCTAATTAGGTATAAATCTAACAAATATGTACAAGATCTGCATAAGAAAAACTACAGAACTCTAATGAGCAAAATAATTTACAAAAACTAAATAAAGGTAAAGATATTCTGTGTTCGTGGATATGAATAATCAATATGTTAAGATGGCACTTCTTTTCAAACTGATCTATAGATTCAGACAATTCCAATCAAAATTCCAGCAGGCTTTTACATCTACAAAATGACTCCAAATTTTATATGGAGAAGGAAACGACCCAAAATAGCCAACACAATATTGAAGTTAGAAGACTGATACTAGCCAACATCAAGACTTACTATAAGCCTACAGTAATCAGAACAGTGTAGTATTGGTGAAAGAAGAGACAATTAGATCAATGGAACAGAAGAGAATCCAAAAATAGACCCACATGAATATAGTCAATTGATCTCTATCAAAGGAGCAAAGGAAATGCAATGAAGCAAAGATAGTCTTTTAAAGAAATGGTTCTAGAACAACTGGACATCCACATACAAACAACAACAACAACCTTGAATCTAGACACATACTTTATACCCTTCACAAAAATTAACTGCAGATGGATCATAGACCTAAATGTACATTGCAAAATTATAAAAGTCCTAGACGATAAAAGAAGAAAACCTGGATGACCTGTGATATGGCAATGACTTTTTAGATACAACACCAAAACCACAATCTGTGAAAGAGATATTTACTAAGCTGGAATTCATCAAAGTAAAAAAACTTCTGCTCTTCAGAAGATAATATCAAAAGAATGGGAAGACAAACCATGGACTTGAAGAAAATATTTGCAAAAAAGACATCTGATAAAGGACTATTTCTAAAGTATATAAAGAACTCTTAAAATTCAATAGTAAGAAACAAATAGTCCAATTAAAAATGGGTCAAAAACTTTATCAGATACCTCACCAAAGGCAATATACAGAATACCAAGTAAGAATATGAAAAGATGTTCCATATCATATATTATCAGAAGAAATACAAATTAAAGCAACACCCATTAGAATACCCAAAATGAAGAACACTGACACCACTAAATGTTGGTGGAAATATAGAGCGAGAGGAAGAAGCTCTTCTTTATTGCTGTTGATAATAGAAAATGGTACAGCCACTTTGGAAGACCACTGATGGTTTCTTAAAGAACTAATAAGCATGCTCCTATTAGATGATCCAGCAATCACACTCCTTGATATTTACCCAGTGGGGATGAAAACTTATGTTTGATCTCCATATGGATGTTGTTGTAGTGTTATTTTTATTTAAGGAAATTTGGAAGTAGCCAAGATGTCCTTCAGAAGGTGAATGAATAAATGAACTGTAGTATGTCCAGACAATGGAATGTTATTTGACACTAAACAGGTATGAGCTATCAAGGCATGAAAAGCATGGAAGAACCTTAAATGCTTTGTGAAAGTGAAAGAAGTCAACCTGAAAAGGCTAAGTTCTATGTGATTCCAACTATATGACATTCTGGGAGAAGCAAAACTATGGGGATAGTACAAAGATCAGTGGTTTCAGGGTTTGGGGTAGAGAGGAAAGGATGCATACGTGGAGTACAGAGGATTTTTACGCAGTGAATATACTCTGTATGAAACTATAATGGTGGATACATGTCAGACTCATAGGCTATGGTCTAACACAACAGTGAACCCTAATATAAACTATAGACCCCTGGTTAGTATGATGTGTCAATATAGATTCATTAATGTAGCAAATATACCACCCAGCTGGGAGCTGTTGATGATGGGGGAGGCTATGCATATGTTAGGGTGAGGTGTATATGGGAAATCTTATATCTTCCTCTCACTTTTACTGTGAATGTAGAGCTGCTCTAAAAAATAAAGTCTATTAAAGAAAAAAAAAAAATAGGAGAGCCTGTGTGGTTCAATCAGTTAAGCATCTGACTCCTGATTTTGGTTCAGGTCACAATCTCACAGTTGTGAGGTGGAGCCCTGCATTGGGCTTGGTACTGGACGTAGAGCCTGGTTAAGATTCTCTCTCTCTCTCTCTCTCTCTCTCTCTTCCCCTGTCCCTCTCCTGCTCATGTGCATGCTCTATCAAAAATAAATAAATAAATCAAAATAACAAGCTAAAAATAGAAGAGTACTTTTCAAAAATATGCACCAATATTTAACCCCCAAGAAAAAAATCAACCCTCTACATGTTAATGACCACTTCTACGAAAACACTAGGTAGTACTATGATAAAATAATTCAGTTGAACTATTACAAAATGAGGCATTGTATGTCCCCATCCACTGGGAATGTACAGTTTAAAAAACTGAAATATAAGTAGGCGAAATGTAAAACAGTGTCATGTCAATCATGCAAATTTAAAATTCTGTTTTGTTTTTTTTTCAGGGGGCACCTAAACCAATAGCCATTGAACCATGTGCTGGGAACAGGGCTGCTGTTCTGACGGTGTTTCTTTGCCTGCCGCGAGGGTCTTCAGGCGCCCCTCCTCCTGGACAGTCAGGTGAGATGAAGGTGGAGCCATCAGCAATTGAGCAGAACATGTAGACTAACAGAAGAAGCAAACGATACTACCACACAGCACAGTGAGGATAATTACGTGGTTCTAATTTAAAGCATGGCAGAATTTATTAGAGTACAAATTCTTTCCAAAATATCTGGAAATCTGCATTGCTGTGAATTCAGATTTGCCAATAATTCTCTTAAAAATACATGTTAAATATGTGTGTATTTTTGTGTATAATATACATGCACATGCATGTTCACACACATCCCGCTTATACGGTGAGAAATCTCACTAGCATAGCAAACAAGTTTTTGACTTTAGGGCACCTTCTTTTTTCCTAGTATGTGTGTCATATAGGATACAAAGTTACAAATATGATTAGAAGCTTGCCTCATAAATATGGAACCAAATTAAGGAATGTATTTGCATGTTTGAAACATGTAGCAGCCTCAGAGGGTGATAGCTTGATACCACCATCTTAGAATGTTCAATATATGTTGTTATCAGCACCAGACAGCTGTATCGCATGGGCCAGCAGACCCTCCCCTTTCAATGGTACTGTCAGCCTTTGCTTCTGAATCTCCTTTTCTTACATGAAAAGCATATTTTGAAAATGGGGGTAACTCTATATGTCTTCTTGGAGGTCTTCCCAGTGCTGAGATGTTGACCAGATTGTAAACATGCAGAATGTTGAGTATGACTTATGATTAAATAACAAATCATGCTTACTTCTCTCTTTTTATACATTCTGTTCCATTTACTTACAATGTGAAATATTTCAGTCTCTCCATCATTTGCTGTATCCAACACTTAGGAAATGGATGCTTTTTGAGGGTAAGGGCAATTTCAAATCTCTCTTTCTTTCCAATTCCCCTTAAGTATAAAGTGCCAGAGATCTGGCAAGGTCTCAATAACAGTAATTGATACTGAACTCACCTCCCTGCTTATTTAATCTTTTCTTGGTTCCCTAGCTAGCTTTGACCTTCTTTCTTTCTTGATTTGTATCAACCCTGACACGAAAATGGAAGCTATACTACTTTATACCTTGTAAACTTAAGATATTCATGTAACAAGAGTTTTCCCTTATGGAGACAGAGGGTTTCCATCACCTTGTCATTTATGGTACCTGATGATATCTTGTTGCAGAAATTTCTACCCAAAGCTTATTTGTAAATGTTTATTGAAGGAAATAAGCATTCTCTGTACTTTCTCATACACTGAGTGAATGTCTTACTCTTCTTTCAGAACCACCATGGTAAATGTAAATGGGATGCAGTTAAGTAGAATAGTTTGGCACTGGTCAGATAAGATGGATAATTATAGGTACTGTGCCCAGCTAATGGAAGCATTGTTTTAAGGCTGGGATGATTTCCAAAACAAACACTTCACTAATGAAAATAAGTCCGTGTGATATACACCAAGGTTCTTCTAAATCCTTGACAAGATGACGTACTGATGGGCAGAGTGAAGGCAACTGCCAATACTCTGTCCTTTTAACCTTTGAAATCTTTTTGACTGATTTGAAAGAACCAGGTAGTGGTGTGGACCATTACCTCAGCTGTGTTCTGTTACAGATGCATTATGATTACTAACGCTAATAGCTAATGCTATCTTTGATGTGCATAGTGCTTTACTCTTTACAAAGTGTTTTCTTATTTTTCACATTTGATCCTCAGGACAAGGCAGTACAATAGGTATAAAACTCACTTCGTAAATGAGGGAATTGAGGCATAGAAATCTGTGTATTTCCACATCCAAGGAATAATTAGGAAACTACTAGAGTATAAAGCTAAAGAACAACAAAAAAAATACTTATTGCTAACCTTCCAGGTAATTTTCCCAGATGATCTGTAGCAGAGAACTTCTTTCTCTCTAATCCATAGTCCATGTCTTCACAAAGCCCCACATTTGGGGGAGTACTAAAAATGTCTGTAGAGTTGATACTGGTAGAGAAAAAACCTTGAGTTAACTTCCCATACTTTTTACAGAGCCTGTAGATTGAATGATGTTGAATATCTGTGCTCATAATTCAGGATGAACTTGTTCTTTGTTTAAAAAAAAAAAACTAACAAATGTTTTCCAGCTATTTTTATAGGAGTAGGAATACTCTTAGTCTACTTCATTTTTTTTTAAATGTTTTTATTTATTTCTGAGAGAGAGGGAGACAGCATGAGCAGGGGAGGGTCAGAGTAAGAGGGAGACACAGAATCTGAAACAGGCTCCAGGCTCTGAGCAGGCTGTCAGCACAGAGCCCGATGCAGGGCTGGAATCCACGAACTGCGAGATCATGACTGAGCCGAAGTCAAACGCTTAACCCAATGAGCCACCCAGGTGCCCCTCTCTCAGTCTACTTCAAAATACAGTCTACTTGGAAATGCATCAAATACATGGTATTGATGAATGGGTAGTGGGATGGATAGATGGACAGATACAATATAAAGCAAGGAAAGTCAATGTGAATGGTAGAATCTAGGTGGTGGGAATACTGTTGTTAAAATTATTTCTTTCCACTTTGCTATAGGTTTTTATACTAAGATGTTGGGAAACAATAAAACAAAACTCCTGACTTCACTGTAACCAACCAAACAAACAAACAAAACAAATCCTCCCCCCGCCCCCCACAAAACAAAGAAAAAAAAAACAGGTAGTGTTTGTATAGAGTTTTCTAACATTCACATCTCAGTTTTCCCTGAACAAAACAAATACTGATACCAATATACAAACTAAAAATGATTTATTTTTTCACTCTTCATCAAGATACTTGGTTTGTACAAAGCCAATTAAAACATAACATGATATAATCCAATATTTGAAAGGATGTGCATTCCAATGATTATTTGGGAGCCATATCGGCTCTTGGAAAGGAAATGTTGACCTTAGTTTATCTCATTCCGAGAGTTTGGTCTATTTCATATCTTTACAGGGAGTCCATCTATGTGCCCCTGCTGGTCACAGTGCTGCACGCACAGAAAGCAGTTCATACATACCTTTGACAAGAATAGTGATAGATGAGGGGCTGTATGGACAGACCCCTGGCCCCATCCCCACCCTGTGAAGGACAGGGCTTCAGGAGCCTTCCCTTGCCTGTTGAGTGATTTATGTCTCCAAATATTAGCAAATCCATTCAGTGATTAATTAGTATTACTTATTAGATTATAAGTTCTCTTGCAATACTTAGCACAGTCTCAGAATTTTTCACCAGCCCCCTTTTTGAAATGTAGCTTTTGAAATGTTGAGTGACGCTTTTCATGATGCACTCTTCATTACCATGAATAAAGGCACTTAAGGCAAGGATAAGTTTGGGGATAAGGAGATGGTAAAAGCATCCCAAGAGGAAGGTGGTTTTCTCCTTGAGACTGAACTTCAGAAACACACAGGTGCTGGGGTTTTAGCCATCTCTTTAAAGTAGTGGCTAGTAATTTTTTTTTAAATATATGGCAGTGTCTTTGGACTTTATTCTCTTTTCACCAGAAAGCATGTCAGTAATTCTTAGCAAGTAAAATGTGTCTAAAATGTGTGAAGTCCTTTCCATGGTTTTCGTCTTAAGAGAGGTCAAAAGAAAAACTGCAGATTCATCCTTCAGATTACCCCATGCAGTAAATTTTTTTTTAATGTAATGAATTTAGGTGTGTGTGAGCAATTCTCCCTCTAGGTGGCTTAGAAGAGTAAAAGCAAAAGATATTAAATAGGCTTTTTGGCATTCCTGGAGCTGGACTAATTAGGTTCCCAGCTCCCCCACCCCGTAAACCTGCTGCTTCATTATTATATTTTTTTTGTGTGAGAAACTACTGCCAACCATGCCACACTGTTTGGGTTCATGGGGGATTTCTGCTGTTGACATTTGCACAGTGTACAGCTACTTCCTCTTCTGACCTCAGAAAGGTTGAAAGACTGACATCCCCACAAAAACAGGGCACATCAGGTAAATGCTACATGACACGAAACAACCAAGCATGACTCCAGTCACCTTGGACACGGCAAGGTCCCCAAATGTTTTGGAGTCTCATTAAGATGAAATGTGGACAAAGTAAATAGAGCCCTTCAAAAGCATAAATTGAAAACAATAATGATTGCTGTCACTTTGTGATGGAAGATTGTGGATTTCATTGTTTATGGAGTCTCACTAATAAGAAGCAGATTAACTCTTCTCACTGGATTAAAAATCCCAGGGGCCCAGATGCCCACTGCCAAAAAGGAGCTATGTGCTTCAACTCAGAGTAGAATTTTGCCCTGAACTTGCCTCATATTTGATTGAGTCTAACATCACCAAAAAGAATACAGTGCAAAGTCTAAGGTCTAGATTTTTTTTTTCTTTAGGCTTAGAAGTTTTGGTAGGATGACCAGATTATTTTGCAAAATCTAGAAATATCGTATAATGTTTAAAATGATAGTCAACTCACAGTGCCATGGGTAATGGTGACGAAAAGAGACCTTGGCTCAACTGAATGAAAAAGAGGTAGGCCAGGGCCCCAGGGTGGCTCAGTCAGATAAGGGTCCAACTCTTGATTTTCAGCTCAGGTCATGATCTCATAGTTTGTGGGATGGAGCCTCACATTGGGATCTGCACTGATAGCACAGAGCCTGCTTGGGATTCTCTCTCTCTCTGCCCCTCTCCTACTTGTACGTGCTCTCTCTCTCTCTCTCTCTCTCTCTCTTTCTCTCTCTCTCTCTCTAAATAAATAAACATTAAAAATAAAAAGAGGTATAAGATAGAGAACTAATAGTTCTGAGCATTGTATTAGGTGCTTTCCATATAGTCATCAGTTTAACCCTCTTAATGATTCTGAAAAGCAGCTATTATTATCCCACTTTCACAGATCAAAAAACAACAACAACAACAAGAGCAACAACTTGAAATTCAAAAGAGAGCAAATGACTAGTCCTGGTTCCTACATCTAGTAAGAGAATAAGCTAGAACTCAACTCCAGGGCCATGTGCATCCTCAGCATATGAGATTCTTCATCATCACAGGCTTCTCTGGACAGTGATACAAAGGT